GCATACACACAATGGAGTAAAATACATCTGAGAAAAAGACTGAGGAAGAAAATACTAATGAAACATTACGGAGGAAATGCTGTTAAGTGAAAAAAGCAAAGTGCTAAAAGCATGTAGTTTGTTACTTGTGTAAGAAAGAAGGAAAAATAATGAACATAGTCTTTGTATCCTCAGCCTTGGGCAGACTGAGGATGTATGTACGTGTAAGAATTACAAACAAATCCTACACTCTTCAGTAGATTTGTTTCTCATAGCAGGATGGTAAAGCAGTTTTGAAACTATTTTTATGCATTTTAGGATTGAGCAAATGAATTCATGTGTCTGTGTTGTTGGGAGCCAGGATTGTCACCATGGAAGGAAAGTCATACAAATGTGGAATGGGACAAAGCAAGGAAGAATCCCATAAGGATGAGCAGGATTTGGAAGTATTGGTGTGAACTTCAGATTCATAAGATTTGTACCTGTGTGTCTGTATATGTTTATGTGTCCATGCATACTTGTGTACATATTTGTTTGCATATGTATGTATACACACATGCATTTTCTACCTCTGTCTGCTGAAAAGACCAAGAAGCAAGAATGCTCCAGTAGCAGTGAGCACATCTAGCATCCAGATTTTAGCCTCTAATGCCGTTTCCCACTAGTGGAAACCCTGGCTTCTTGGATTACTGGCTGCTTCCAGGGTTAGGATAGGGTAAGTCTGAGATGATTCCGGATCCAGAAAGACAGAGTGAGTTTGAAGGGATTCCCTCCCACTGGCCAAATCTGGGACAATTTTACCACCAAACTAAGTACACTAATGCCTTAAACCACTGGGAAGGGAAATAAAAAGAGAATCTCACAAGCCCATAACAATAATAAATACATAAGTAAATGAAGTCTACTATTTACAGTAGAATGCCAGTGGAAACTGATAACTTCATTTTTTTCTCCTAATACTAACATCTTACATAATCATGTTACCCTTATTAAAGGTAAGAAATTAATATTAGGACATCACTGCTAGAAAATGTATATTATATTCAGGTTTTCCACTGTTGTCCTTTTTTTCTGATCTAGGATCCAATCGAGAATCTGACACTGCATTTAGTCATCATATGTCTTTAGTCTCCTCCAATCTGTGATAGTTTCACAGTCTGTCTTTTACAGGTATTTTGTTGAATGCTCTTCAATTTAGGATTGTCTGAAGTTTTCTCAGTAGACTCACATCATGGAATTTTAGGAAGAATACCACAGAAATGAAGTGTCATGATTGTACCATATCAAGGGGTACATGATACCAACATGATTTATTCCTGGTGATGCTAACCCTGGTCACTCAGAAAAGATGGTGTTAGACAGGTTTCTCCACTATACTCTCAACCATTTTTCTCTATGCATACCTAAGTAATTGGTAAGTGCAGCTCATACTCCTAGGAAGAGGAGAATGGACCTTGTGACTAGAAGGACAGCATAGTGACAGTGCTTCTTACATTCCCCCATCCTACAGAAGAAAGTGGCCCAGTATTTCCTGGCTCCGAAACTATCAAAAGGCAGCCCATACAGGCTCATTCCTCCCAGGATGGAACAGAAAGAAATCCTGCTGAGCCCAGCAGCACCAGTTCAGGATACAATGGAAAATTAACCACTGTACCAAGAACCAGGAAATCACAAATTAGTAAAGACAGTCAACTGACACCAATACTGAGATGGGATATTAAAGCAACAATTGTGAAAATGCTTCAAGCAATTACAAGTTCTCTTGAAACAAAGGAAACAGTACAAGATTTTAACAAAAAGCAGAAGTTATACAAATAATAGGATGCAAATTACAGAGCTTTAAAATAGAAATTTTGAAACTCATTGGATAAAGTCAGTGGTATGGTAGATATGACAGAAAATGGAATCGAGAATTGAGAACAGGTCAATAGAACTTAGCAAATCTGAACAACAAGAGAGTAGACAGCCTGGGGGGAAAATAAGAACCTCCGGGACAAGGGCAAAAAAGCTAACATTTATGTTATCAGAGTCCCAGAAAGAAACAGTGGGATTGAAAAAATATTTAAAGATGTAATAGCAGAAAACTTCCCATTTTTAGCAAAAGATATAAGTGTGCAGATTCAAGAAGCTAAACTGCTAT